GCAAATATATCTTATTTTCTTTTTCTTTCTTTCTTTCTTTCTTCCCCCATGTCTTTCCCTCTTTCTCTTGGCAAGTTAAGGCACCGGATAGCTCAGTGACTAAAGCAATTGCCCCGAAAGCAAAATGTCAACGGTTCAATCTCCTCTCCGGATCTCTACTTTTTCTTGCCAATTCTTTTATTTCTTTATTATTGGACACATGTGTTCCCAGATCAATTTTCAAAGGCTAGATAATCAAAAGAACCATATTTTGTAAAAGAATTGCCTTCCAGAAACTCCCAAAACGATTTTTGGCTTTAGAAAAAACGACCAGGAACAAGTTTTCTTTTTTCATGTCCTCATTCATCTTAAAGACTCTTTCAAAAAAAAAGCGCAGGTGATTGAGTGGGTTTACTAAGGGAAAAGAAAAGGTAATTGTATCCAGATCTTTCAACATCATCGAAAATGGCATAATTGATTGGATAGATTGTATTTCGTGTGAATGAAAAAGGTCTTTTGTTGAGGGGAAATCTGATTCCAACCGGTCAACAGATCGGCTTTTGTGCAGAAATTCTTGTTCAGCATCAAAGTCTTGTTTTCCCGATAGATATCACTTCGGATTTCACAACTCTGTGGATTGAGTATCGGTTTGAATTTCCCCACTTTTCTCTATCCTTAGGAATTTGTCCGATTTCAAAAATGACAACTTATAAACGAAAATATCATTTGAAAGCTGCAAAACTCCTCTCCAAGAACATCTAGTAAGCTTCCAAAAATTCTAGAGCAATTAAATGTGAATTTCAATTGGTGTCACTATGCTCAAAAGTTTGGAAAGAATCTTTGCCTTGGCTAATTTTCACTAGGAATTCTAAATCCTTTTAAACTAGCCAAACTGTTATTCGAAATCTAAAACACTGGTTTTCTCTTGTTCATTCTTTTGAGATTGACTTCTACATATACATACCGTAAATACTGTAATAGTGCCCCACCGCCATAATGACGGTGCGAAGTGTTGCGTAGTCTAGCTTTGAACGAGTTTTTCTCGACACTGGTTTATGCTACAATGCGCGCTTAGATATCAAAAAATAGCCCTGAATTTCAGCTACTGTTATTTGAAACCTAAAACACTGGTTTTCTTTTGTTCATTCTTTTGAGATTAACTTCTACTTCTTCTTTGAGATTCTTCTATAGAGCTACGTCACTCCAAAAAGAACAACTTTCCCAGATTTGCCTAATCTTTGAGGGTTTCCCCGAAACCCAAATCGAAACGTTTCTAATCCTTTGATGTCTTAAAGAAAAATGATCAAATTTTCCTTTATTCTTGAAATTTCATCGAGCGTTGAACAAAGCATTAAACAAAAATTGAAAGAACTAAAATTTGATCCCTATTTCTCATGATTCTTTCCTTTCATAGAAAGGAGTTTCTTTCGTTTCTTTAATTTCTTTCGTCCACAATTTAATTTTACTATTCTTTAGTTAAAAGCAAATAGTTTTTTTTTAATCTAATGCACAAAAATAACCATATCAAAAAAACTCTAAGGATAGAAAACGTGTAGATTAAAATTTTTTTTGGCTTATGATTAAATTTCGGGAATTCTTTAGTGTGTCATCATTTTTTCCCATTAAAGCCAAAAGATTCAAAGTGAAAGCCGGGCCATTTTCCCAGAATACTCAAATAATCTTAATTTATGATTTTCGATGATGTATTGAAGAGGTGGGGGTGAGATTTGGGAAAAGGAGAAGCTGGAGAAGAAGTTGGGGGATTGGGGGATTGGCCCAGGCTTGGATTCGATTCTCTCTTCTTTCACACACTAACACCAACCCACTCGTTTTTGATTTTTCAGCGGCTTGAAAGTTCATTGAAGCTTTCTGACACGTTGGAGCACTTTGTTCATTCATTCGATGACTTCACTCAGTCGGAAAGTCAATCTGAATTGATAACTTCTTTCCTGGTCAGCCGGATTTTTTTACATTGGCTTTATTTTCACTAGGAATTCTAAATCCTTTTAGGCTAAACTTAAATTGTATAAACTTTAACGATTTCATTTTCGTTTTCCTCCGCATTCGAATCAAATTTCGATTCAAATTTGATTTGATTCGCAAAATTTGAATCAAATTTCAAACCGATACCTTTGAGCTCACTTTTTTCTTTGACCTTTCAACCAATTCAAAAATTTCTTTTTCTGTTTGACGCATTCAAATTTTAATTTCAAGATTCAATCTCGCTTTGCGACAATTTTTAGAACCCAAAGATCTAATTCGTGACATTTTTTGAATTCTTTCAATTTCTTTGAATCCAATTTGTCATCGAAATGTCAGATGTCAACTTTTTTTTCTGAATTTTAATTTGTGCTAGGTGGGTGGGTTGGAAATATTTTTAAGAAATGAAAGAATTCTTAGTCTTAATCTAAATTTTTGAGCTCAAAGAAGCTCTAGCATTTTCTCATTTTGTTAAAATATGCTGCTCTCAAATAACTTTCGAAAGCTTTGAAAATTGACACTTGAAACGCGCCCCGCTCCCTTTGCCATTGGCAATTCAACTTTGAGCTCAAATATCTTGGTGTTCGGCACTTCAATTTCTCTAGTTTTTATACCAATCGACAGAAAAAGACTTAGAGCATCTAATGATCCCAATAATATATAAATTTAGCACCCAACACCAAGAAATTTAAGCTTAAAGTCAGATTGTTGGACATTTGCCTCACCCCTTTTGTCAATCTAACTTTAAGCTCAAATTTCTTGGTGTTCGGCTCTTCAATTTCTCTAGTTTTTATACCAATCGACAGAGAAAGACTTGGCGTTTCTAATGACATCAATAATTTATAAATTGAACAATCCAACACCAAGATATTTGAGATCAAAGTTAGATTGTTAATGGGAAAAGGGGTGGGGCGCGTATCAAACGTCCGTTAATCTTCTATCTTCTATCTTTATCTTTTATAAACCCACACAGAATCAGATCAAAGATAAATAGTTAGATTGGATAAAACAGCAGCAAGATTATGTTAGTTTTGTCGAAAGTTGACACGTTTTAGAAAACAAAACGTGTGGAACTCTATTCAAAAGGATTTTCTTGTTGCGAGCTGATTCAGCCAAACAAGCAAACATGTTTTGCATTCTTGTGCTCAAAAATTACATACTGCACAATGCCTTTTTCAATGGGGTAGCAATTTGAAGTAACAATTTGATTAAAGAAGTCTTTTTACACATGTTTACACGATTTTTGAGTATAAAGAATAAAATTCGAATTCCTAAGTTTTAAGTCCTAAGTCCCTGAGAAGGCTGACTTTAGCTGTAGTTGGACAGTGTTGTTTTACGGGTTGAATTCGAGCATTTCGGGCTTATCGTCTACGAGGCTAACGCTTTACCGATAAGCTATGCTTGGATTTGCAAAGCAAATAAGTTATACTCATTGTAACTAGAGTAGCGATTCTCTATGACATCAAAAAACGTCATTTCCCACGTCAATTTCCCCAAAGGTGAGCCCAAAAATTGCCCAAGTACAAAACATTTTTCTAACTCAATCACTCGCCATTTTTCTATCGTTCATCTACTTCCTCCATTTTTACATTTTTTCTTCAATTCTTCAAACTTTTGTTGATTTCAAATGCAATTGCAAAATGCTATTTAAAACGGAAGCAAAAACGGCACAAAATCACGGTTTTTAGCGAAGAAATTGGCACCTTTTTGCTCAAGGAAATGTTAAATTATGGGTAAAAATGGGTTTTGAATTTCAGTGGGCGTAAAGAGAAGTAAATAAACGGATTTCTTTTTTTGTTTGTTAAAAGATTAGTCATTTCAGTTGAAAGTTTTGAAATATTTTAGCTTTTAGCTAACACTCCGAAAAGCTAGCCACCTAATGGACTAAGATCTTCCATTCTAGCTCTTCTTCCTCTTCATTTGCCCAACCATGGCTAAATCCAGCTATATCCCTTAACCAAAGCATTCACCTTAAACTCCAACAAGTAAGTGAAGAAATTTTATGAGTCTTTTTGCCAAATGAGTCTCTAAATTTGGCAACAAAGCACGAAATCGGCGTTTTCGTTTTTCCCAAAATTTCCATTGAATTCTTTGGGCAATTCTGAAATCAAAGGGCTTTCTTCTCGTTTTTTTTCTTTTGAAAGTCCACAATTTTCATTTTCACAAATATAGGAACTCAAATCAAGAATGAAAAGGTTTTGTTGATTGAATAGAAAACTTTTTTATGGACTTCCTTAAAAGATTTGTCATAGTTCAGAGTTTGTGATTTGTCATAGTTCATAGTATGTTTTTACCTTTTGATTTGATGCTTTTGAAAAGTTGACACTTGTTTTTATCGGAAAATCTTTACCTTCGCCTATCTTAGCCTTGATTTTAATGAAATGAAAGCTTTCTATCATCAGGTTCAGTAAAAGAATTGATTTCATAGATCCTAGCTGAGTTTAGCTCTGATTAGATACAGTTTTTTAATGAAATGAAAGCTTTCTATCATCAGGTTCCGTAAAAGAATTGATTTCATAGATCCTAGCTGAGTTTAGCGCTGATTAGATACAGTTTTTTTACATCTTGAGACCAAAATTATTCGCCCTTTGATGTGTTCAACCCACGCTGAAATTCATTTAGCGACAAATTTTTTTGACTCAAAAGAATTGAAATTCGATTTCACCACGATTTTAGATGATTTTAAGTAGGTTTGACGCTAAATTAGCGGCGAGAAAACGTAAAAAAAACGCTGACAAATTGCTCAGCTCACCTACAAAAGTGCCCAAAAATTTCCACAGGTCACAGCTCATTCACCAAATCAAGTAAAGATCTTTCATTTTTAAGTCTTTTTCAAAAAAAATCTTTTAAAAAGCAAGCACTGAATATTTTATTGGTTTTTGAACAAAAGCAAAGGTGTTCTTTTTGCCATTTTTGCCATTGTGCTAGTGAAAAACATTGCTGAAAACATTGCTCTTTTCATTGATGCTTTGAATGTTATCATTTCTTTTTCAATTTTTATACCAAATGTCAATGTAAATTTCCAATTTCAGGTAAAAATAATGCAGGCCAGCCTTCTCTCCGCTTTGATATTGGCCTTCGTCGCTGCAGTCTCGTGAGTTTTCTTTTGATTACGATAGTAAGTAGCAGGTTAACTTTAATATTGCTTGATCTTAAGTTATTAAAGTATTTTTTTTGCTTTCCAGTGCTTTGCTTTGCTTTACAAAACGTTTCCAGATGTGCCTCATTGGCGAAAAAAGCCGACGAGGTTTCATCGTTCGTTTCCGGATTGAACGGAGCGGCACGGCTGAGATACGGGAAACGATCGCCCACTGACAATCAAGAATCCTCTTTCCTCGTCGACCAGCCCATGCTCATGGATAAGTGCGTTTTCAGAGTTAGTAAAAGCTCATTGATCTGAAAATGAGCAAAACGTGTAGCTGTACAAACTGAAGATCTCTAATAAAGTAAAGAAATGAGTGAGTTCACCAAGGGGAATTGAACCCTCGACCATCTGCTTATCGAGCAGAACTATCGGCACTCTATCACTAAGCTCTATCACTAAACTCTATCATTAAGCTATTAGCGCCTACCTTGCCTAAGAAGAAATAGGAAAGACAAGAAAGAGAAAGAAAAAAAAGAAAGGAAGGAAGAAAGAGAAGGAAATAAGTTATTGAAAAGATGGTAGCTGTTGAATTTCATCTAGGAGCTAAAGATTGAGTGTGATGAAAGATTTGCAGATATCTAAACATGAACATTGACATTGAGCTAAACATGAACCTGAATAATTTTTAGTGAATACGTGCTTCAACCATACGGCAGCAACGGTTACGCGCTTTACAAGCGATCGCCGTCCGCGAAGAGTCTCATCGAGTCATTGAATGGAGCTGAACGATTACGGTAAGTGATTGTAGAGATTGGTTACTAATAAAATCGAATTCTCTATTCTTAAGAGTATCACTGAAATCTTGAAGACTGTAGTCTTTAGTTTTTAGTCTTTTCTAGTGAAAATTTGTATTTAAAATCCCTATTCAATCAACTCGTTCAGGTTCGGCCGGAAGTAAACACTCGATCTTCAATCAACTTCAAATATCAAAAGAAAAACTTGCCAAAATCAATCTCAGATTTCTTTGAATCTCAAGAAAAAAGCTTTTCTCTGTTGTTTTTTTTTCAAAATGAAACCTTCTTTTAAGCCGTTGTCATATTTTGATCGTGCTGACCAATCAATTTTCTTTGATATAAAATGTAAATGTTTTTTTCTTATATGAAATTTGACTTTTCTCGGCCTACTAGAGGCGATGAGTAAACGGCTATTTGTGGGTATTTGTTGAAAACAAATCGAAATACTTTGAAGAAATCGCACGAGAAACCGAAAAACATTTCCCCGCCCCTTTTTCGATCCATATTGGAAACATATTGGAACCATATTTGAACCATATTGGAAACATATCCGAACCATATTGGAACCATATTGGAACCATATTGGAACCATATTGGAACCATATTGGAACCGTATTCGAACCATATTGGAACCATATTGGAACCATATTGGAACCATATTGGAACCATATCCGAACCATATTGGAACCAAATTCGCACAATATTGGAACCTAATTGGAACCGTATTCGAACCATATTGAAACTATATTGGAACAGTATTCGAACCGTATTCGAACCATATTGGAACCATATTGGAAGCATATCCGAACACAATCCACGCAATTTTGCTCGGATCTTAGCTGGGTTTCTTTTTAAAAAAAAACGTTGAATTTACTTTCATTCGATTTGCAATCAAATTCTCTATCGAATGAAAGTAAATTCAACATTTTTCAAACAAATCCAGTCAAGGTACGAGCAAAAAAACGGACCGAAAAAAGAGGCGGAGTTAACAGTTAATCCTACTTAACTTATAGCTCTTTAAAGTTAGCTCTAGCTTAAGCAAAGCTTAAACATTTAAAAGAATAAGTACAAATCACAAATTGACAAGCGTCCCTTTTTAAAGTGAGTCAATTGGACAAACTCGCGAGGGGAAAATCCGAAAAGAAAACAGAGCGCACAGCTCTTCATCGACTCCACAGAGAAAACGATTGAAATTCTACTTGAAATTCAACGCTACTTTTTAGCTTTTCTCATTTATTAACATCTAATTATTTTTATCGAAGAAAAAATGCTGTCATGGAGGGTGACTTGACGTTGACGATCGCTTTGTTGATAGTGTTTGTGGGAAAGAGTTCGGAACACGTTGTCATTCCATTAACAGGTCTGTTTGAGTGAATTCTTATAGAAAAAACTTGAATGAATTGCTTTCTTTTAATATTTTATCTTTAGAAGAATCCAATCCTTATCTCGACATCACTTTTCTTTCCGAGCAAACGCGAAAAATTCCGGGAATAGTGCCGAATATTGGTGACTGTTTGATTGAGTCATAACAAAAGTTATTTGAAAATTTCATCCAATAAATCATTTCATGAGCTCACGGAAACTTTGATGAAAGATAAAAAGAGTTTTTAGAAGTAAAACTCGACTGTGAGGCTCAACGAGAGAGCGCACGGACCAAATCGGCTAACAATTTTCTTCCGTCTTGTCAAAAACAAAATAGCACGTTCGTTTTTTTGGGAAAATATTGTTTTAGTCGGGAAGTTTTGTCCGTCTTTTTGAAATTTTCATTTATAAATGATGTTTTGCTGGTTTGCTTCAGGCGATGGCTTGCTTTAAATCAGAAAAAAAGGATTAACTCTTAGCTTTAGCTCATTTTTAGACAAATTTGAGTTCGTTTTGAAGCAGATCTATACCAAATTGGAACCAAATTTATATAATATTCGAACCAAATCTAGACCAAATTGCAACCAAATCTAGACCAAATTGGAGCCAAATCCATACCAAATTGGAACCAAATCTATACCAAATTGGAGCCAAATCTATACCAAATTGCAACCAAATCTATACCAAATTGCAACCAAATCTATACCAAATTGCAACCAAATCTATACCAAATTGCAACCAAATCTATACCAAATTGCAACCAAATCTATACTAAATTGCAACCAAATCTTATGAATGAAATGAAAAATGAAATAGGTAATTTTTGGTATAGATTTAGTTCCAATTTGGCATAGATTTAGCTTATTTTTAAGCAAATTCCGACGGGGAATTCGTGTTTTTCTTTTTCTAAAATCTTTACAATGAAAATAGAATGAAAACGGTTTAGTGAAATTTGATGAAAATTTGTCTATCTGTCAAACTTTTTATTCTCTATCTTTTGTCTTCTGATATCAAAATAGATTTCTTTGATGAAAAGTGCTCAAATCGAAACTTTGAGTTTTCGTTTTGAGTCATCGGCTCTGCTCTGTTCGACTTCATATCTTTCAAAAAAAAAATTAACTAAGTCAAGCTTTTCAGAATTTTGTAAAGAACAATTTCTAAATAAGTAATAGAAGTTTCTGATAAAAAAAAAACAATAAATCGATTGGTTTATTATTTATTTCAAAAATAACCTTTAAAAAAAGCAGAAAAGACTTTCCGGTGAACTTGATAGAACGATTTTCTAAACGGTTCAACTCAAGTTCAAACCTTGTTTTGTTTTTTTTCAAATTCTGTTCAAATCAATTCAAATCAAATCAATTCAAATCAATTTAAATCAATTCGAATCAATTCAAATCAATTCAAATCCAATTTTTCTCTAGACTCTACAACAAAGTACAATGTCACGATGGATCGAGGGTTTGTTGGTGTGTGGACGAGTTGAGCGGCGAGCCGTTTCCAGGTAAATTCATGATACGATTCAATGTTTTCTGATTATTTGTTTGTTCTTTGTTTTAGACACGGCTGTAAACGGACGGAAACCCGACTGCGATCGGGTTCGATTAGATTTGACGAAGAAAAAGAAGCCGCCTGGGAAGCATGTTTTTAAAAGTGAGTTCGATAGATGTTGTGCTGTATTTGTTTTTATTTTGTTTAAAAATCGTTTCTTTTGTTTTTTCAGAGTGCAAGGGACGACGACGAGCGAAATTCTATGCGCGGGTGTTGAACTCATTGAAGTGAGATTTCATCTTGACCTTGTTTGGCAATTTACGAAATTTTTGACATAGTAAACTGTGTTTCGAAAAAGTTTTAATAACCTATACTTCAATTTTATATTGTTATATTGTTATTGGGTTGGTGAATTGAAAGCTGCCGGACTTTGAACTAAAATTTATTCAACATAAAACCATAAATTCATTCCAAATAATTTCCATTATTATTGACGACTTCTGCCCATTTTACAGGCAATTTGCGGATTCCTCTTTCGTAGTAGGATTTTGGTTTGTGTGTGAGACAAGTGTGAGACTCAGAAATGGAGGACTGGAGCTGCTTAAAATGGGACATCCCAGTTTGAGCACTTTCTTCAAAAGAAACCTATTTTGGTGTCAATAGAAAAGTTGTAGAGAATCAAAAATTAGGCTTATAGCCAAATTTCCAAAAAGATACACTTAGCAGTTTCGCTTAAAATGCAAGTTTTGTGAAAATTCGTAAATTTCGCATTTCTTGAAAACCAGTTTTTGAATCGTTCTGAAAATTTGGATATAAGCCTGATTTTTGATTCTCTAAAACTTTTCCATTGACACCAAAATGGGTTTCTTTTGAAGAAAGTCCTCAAACTGTCACATGAAACTGACAGTAGCCCGCAGTTTTCAATTCACCAACCCAATAGATTCAGATTAGCCTTGATTTGAGAAGAAGTCAATGTCCAATTTAAGGATTCGGAGCCGCCAGTTTAGTTTGGGAGGAGTGGAGGGGAAGGGCTTATGTAAAAACCCTGCGCCAGACGACGAGCGATGACGACGCACATAGAACACACAAAACACACACAAATTTAAAGCGAAACTACTAAGTGTATCTTTTTGGAAATTTGGATATAAGCTTAATTTTTGATTCTCTACAACTTTTCCATGGACACCAAAATTGGTTTCTTTTGAAGAAAGTGCTCAAACTGTCACATATGACAATAGCCCGCAGTTTTCAATTTCAATTTCAATAACCAACCCAATACATTGTTTATATTGGTTCTATATTGCTTTTTTACTTTCTGAATTACCTTCAAGGTGTTAGATCTGCTTTTTAGAACCGAGATGATCATGGCTGGCGGATCTGGAAATGTGACCGGCGAACGGGTTTTACATTGGAAATTCGAGGCACTTGATTTGAACAAAAATAAGGTGAGTTTTGACGAAAATTGAAATCGTTTCATGCACCCGATTTCACTTTCAGAATATCGAGCGACGCGAGTGGAAACCCTACAAAGAGCAACTGAAAAGTTGGAGACAGGTAAGGGAGAACATTGACTGAAAAGTTGGAGAAGTTGTTACGAAAGGAGAACAATGATTTCAATGTTTAGGTAAAAACGTGCGCTCGGAATTTCTTTCGTTATTGTGATACAAACGAAAATCGACGAATTAGTGCCGACGAGTGGCGAGAGTGCACTGAACAAGGTACTGGAAAGGGTTATCGATAGATTTTAGGGTTTATCAATAGACGAATTTCAAGCATGACTTTGCTAGAGAGCAGAAGCCAAAGGAAAGCTTTTACTCCTGCTTTAGTGTTGAGCATCGGCGATCCTCGACACACGAATCCGTTTCTTCACATCCTCAAACCCGATTTGTGATTGTTTAGTTGATAAATATTTTTTTTTCAGAGAATCAATGTGATTTTTTGGTAAATTCAAATCATCTTTTGATCAAAGAAACACTAGAAAACAACTGAAACAACTGAAACAACTGAAAAAACTGATCTTTCAAAGATTTTCTGATAACACAAATCATCAGCCGTTCTGTGATCAACAGATGAAAAAACTTTTAGCCCGAATCGATCCACTTCACTTCTCAAATTCTCGCAATAGATTCCCGAAATCGAGTCGCTATTTGTGGTGAGTCGAAATGTTACTTTCGCTAAGGATTTTTTTGCGTTCAAAAGAGATTTCTCAAATCATCCGTGAAAATCGAATTCATATATGGCTTGCCGTGGAGAATAAAGCGAATTTGCGATCCGAAAATGCGATCGATCAGCCGATAAAAGGCTCTCCTTGTCAGAGAATTGTGGGCGGTAAATTTCAACAAAAACTCGTTGCATTCCCCCAAATGAACTCACAAACAAATGCAGAAATTTTCAATTTCTTCCGTTTCTTGAAAAAATGAAACTAGAAACCGCAAAAATGACGTATTTCTGGGTTCATTGTCGTTCTTCGAAAACATTGTTGTAAGAAATTCGTTGTCTTTCTGCTCCTTCTGATAGAATCTCTTGATAAACCCGTGAATAGAGGCTGATCTTTTGGAGATCCCCGAGAAAACCCGCCTAGCTCTTTCGAAATTTGAAGAAACATCATTGGACATTTGCTTTAAATGAGAAATAACGAGAACTTTGAGCTTTTCGGGTAGGAAAATGGGGGAAAACATGTTGTTCAAAAAAGAATATTTTGGAGGAACTGATGAAAAGAGTTTCTTATCACCGACGGGAAACTTGGCTAGCATTGATTGATTATTTTGCGATTCTCAATTTGTCGTGGTTTAGCTAGTGTTTATACGTAAGCAATAGAGATCTAATAATATTTTCACATTAATTCACAATTAAAGTGAATCTAAAACACAGGTTTACGCTAAAGAAAAGCAAGTATTCTTTTCAGAAGCTAGGATGAAGCTAGTATTCTTTTCAGATATGTATTTGGACTTGGTTTTCGGGTCCAAATACATATCATAAAAAGTTGCCCAGGTTGGATGCCAAAAGTAAAATATTGGTTTTGACTTGGTTTTGAGTCAAAACCATCCCAGGATCGGCTCAGATCTAAACACGATAAAATAACGCCAAACATGTACATGTACATGTACAATGCAAAGGTTACACGGAAAAAATTGGTGTGACTTTCGAAGCCGTTCGTGTCCAAAAAGACCGACGCCAACCGGCCGCCTACAAAAAAGTCGATCAAGTCTATCAGGAGTTCGAATGTATGCATTCTGCTCCCTTTGACCTTTTCACTAATACACTAGTGATCTTTGACAGCAAGCGGCAGCCTGATGCAACTGATAACGAGAGAAAATCCCCATTTGTCATGATTTATTCTCAGTTTTTCTGAATCTCCTAGGTGACTATAGCTTTTGTAGTTTTGCTTACTATTTTACTATTAAACGAATGGCAAAAAGACTTTCAAACAGTTCATCCTTAATCATTAGTAATCTTCACGATGAAAGGTGGCTTTATTCTGTTCGTTGTTTTGTTGGCCGTTTCTTTTCTTTTAGCCACGGCTAAAGAAGGGGTGAGTCTTAATAATAAAGAATCCGAAAATTCTGTAATTCTTGCAAAACACTAATTTAGTGAGTTTTCTTTCTTCAAATCAAAAGCTCTAGAAATTTCAATCAACTAGGCAAATATTGGGCACTAGTAAAAGGGGATTTTTAAAGAAGGAGAGATGAAAACATTACACGAATTTTAGTTATGAAATGGATTGTTTGAAAATATTATTTATAAGGATTGATATAAGAGATTGAATGCTTTTGGCTTGGTGTATTTAGTTTTCTCTCTTAACAATTCGAAAGACGGTATTTATTACCTGAAAGTGCAAATATATAGTGTCCTTTTCACAATGTTAACTTTTTACTTAGAAGAAGAAATATCTTCTTTTTAGTGATGATAAATCTAAAAGAGAACAATAGAAAAGATCTATTTGTTATTTCAGGAAACTTGCTTCTCAGAAACCCCTTACGATTGTGATGCTGGGGAAGTGTGCGAATTGAATGTGCCGAAGAATTGCATTGCTTGGGTTGGATGTATGGGACATTGTGTCAAAGGGAAATCCGATGCCATTCCAGTGCATCCAAAAGCTCTTCCACGACTCAACAAGGCATAAAAAAGCGAATAAATGGTCAAACGAAAAAGTTAATTTGCACAAAAATTTGCAGATGCATTAAATTTGCACACTGCCACTTACAATCAAACAGAAGACATCAAGACATTTGCAAGACAATCAAACAGAAGACACCAAGATTCCAGCATTTCCATATATATTAAACTTTCTAATTGTGCATACATCAATATGCAAAGGAATGGGTACCTATTTGTAGTAGGACTTTCGACGATTCGCGAAAAGCTTGTTTACTCGGTTCGTTTGTGTATCAACGGTTGTGATGAAAACCGTGATTTCATATCAAGGTTCTCATACGAGTTATAGATTGCATTTATAGTATATGCCTAAGCGCACCCATGGCGTAAGTGGGTAGAGCGTCCGTATCCCGGTTCGATCCCCGCGTGCGGTGCCGAGTACGATGTCACAAAAAAACGAACTTTGATGGGGATATCCCTAACCAACATACTTGGCGTTGGCTATAGCTTCCCTTGGAAATGAAGCCGTGTGCACGCACACACAGACACATTTTCTTCATATATAGTAGATAAAAACTAGGACCGGTTGCTGGCTGCTTTGCCGTTCAAATGAAATAACGGTAATTTCCGGAGAAAAAAACAATTTCAGATCTTTCCTAACTATGAGAGGTAGACATGTGAAGAGCATTTTAGGCGAGTAAATTTGTTTGTTGTTTAGTGCGTGAGAGGGGAACCGATAGGGCAATGATTATTTAGATATTTTATTCCGAATCTAGCACAATCACGAATCAACAACATAAAATACAATAACTAATCAATCGTTGGTTCAGTGTTTCAAAGCCAAAATGAAAAGCATAGAAAGTGGGCTCCGTCTCTTTTTATCACACAAACGATCTTTAGAGAAAGGACAAGAGAATCAGAGCTATTCAAAATCAAAGCATCCAATAAGATTTCACAGAAAATAGCTACTTTTCTGCACACTTTTTAGACTTTTCAGTTTTGTAGTTTGTCCATTGTTTTAAGAGTTTCAGTTTCAAATGATGAAAAATGTATTGAATAGGTTTGCAAAATAAAGTTAAGGGCTCAGTTTTAGCAAAATGTCGATCGTAATTGGCTGCATTATTTCGATTTCCTACGCTTGCTCTGGGTCGGAAAACCGTCGGAAAACCCTATTTATACATTCAATTTATAATGAGCTAAAAGCAAAATATCAATCAAAGAATGTGAAATTTGTTGTTCTCTTCCGGTTTCGCCAGCACCCACTCGTCCAACGGGTAAATATCGCCGAAACACGGGGCGCCCGGGTTCCAACATTCCGTCCTATTGAATGGCTCGTCTTCTTGTTTCAATCTAAACCTTTGGAATTCTTGAGTTTTCTTTGGAAGTGGAAAAAATGAGTCAGTGATAGACATGTTATCGAATACGATTTTTGTCGGATTGGATAGGGTCGTCAAGTCGAAGTAATCCATTGTAAAAGTCTTGAACCATGCTTCAATTTCTAGCTAAACTTTTAGCAGCTATTTTTCAAGAGGAAAGTTTATCGGAAAATGCATTAATATGATGGAAAGTGTAACTACAACTAAATAGAAATGTATTTTCTTATGATAATTTTTTGGATTTGGTTTAAATGTTGAAAATTTGATAGCTGACTCGATAACTTTTTCTAGAGTCAATATTTCTCAAATCTGTTTACAGATGAGATTCTGGACTAGATAAGTGAGTTTGGGACAAAAATATGCATACATTATGGCAGAAGTTATTGGGTTAGCAATGCATTTTTAGCAAAAATTTTTTAAAAATGCATTGCTGATCTTATAACTTCTACCATAATGTATATTTTTGCCCCGAATTCACCTATCTAGTCCAGAATCTCATGCCGGATTCAAATCTGAAAACAGATCCGAGAAATATTGACTCTAGAAAGGGTTATCGGATCAAATTTTCGACATGAGTAACCTTTTGACACATCGATCCATCGCTGCCATCACTTCGAATCCCCGATATTCGGGTTTCTCCTCCCGCAAAATCTCGCGAATCCTTTCACGGATTTCTTCTAGCTTTTCATCAATTGCTTTCTAAATTATTAGGTAATTACTAAGAAAAAATTCTAGGGTTAAGACCATTCTAAAAGACCACATTCTAAAGAAAGACAAAAAAGGTTGCCTTGGATGGGAGTCGAACCCGCGAGCGCTGGCACAGTGCACTCCGTCGCAAAAACACAGTGCAAACTGGCCACTCCGTCACAAAAACACAGTGCAAACCATAATTTCTAACTTTCTTGAAACTTAGAAAGTTAGTTTTCCCTCTAGAGGCCTTTTAAAGATATTCTTGCTATTTTAATTTAGCAAGAATCTCTTTGCGGATTCCTGCTAAGGAAACTTTCAACAAAAAAAAAGTTTAAATGACCGTCGAATCGTTGAAAACGCACACAATCTCACTAAAAACATACACACAGAAGCCCGAAAATGCAAGAATTAACCACACAAACCTCTTTAAAAAACTTGACATCCATGTATTTTCGATTCTCGATTCTGGTCACATTTGGGTCCCAATCAAAATTGGCCCTCATATGCAAATAGAGAGCCTCCTCTTTGGGAATCTGCAAAGAGGAAGTTTTAGGATTGTAAAGGTAACAAATTACTCAAAAAAATGTACCCTTGTAAATAAAAACTAAAAAGAGCTTACGTTAATGCCCTTTTTCTCGCTAAAATACTTCCACGGCCAATGAATGTAGTTTTGCCGAACATATTTCGTCAACCACGCCGATTTCGCGTATCGAAAATTGTCGAAAACGATCGGATCACGAAAGAAGTCGAGTTTCAGAAAGCTCTCGTAATCAAATGGTTTTTCGGTGATACGGGGACGAAATGTTAGACCGACGTGTTGAAAGTGGAGGGATCCTGAAAAATGGAAAATAAATGGTTGCTAAAAAGCGTTATCGTTTTTTAAGCGTTCACAACTTTTCATAAAATCACTTTTATAACAAATTTATTGAAGCAAAAAATGTAAAAAGATCCAAAAAAAACATCAATTATTACAAATTTTTAAAATTCCCCTCCTTTAGCTTTCACACACGCCTTCAAACGAGCGAACTACGGGAGTGGGACAAATGCGACCTTTTTTTTGCGCGCCCGGACATTTGCGCACCTTTTTTCCGCACTTAGCCCATTAGCGCACCTTTTTCGCGTTTTAAAAAAGCTCTAAAAGCTAATATTAACCAATTTCTATTCCAAATGTTTTTTTCTAGGTAATTTGAGGGTGTCGAATCGAAATTTTGGCATATCAGAGCTTGTGGAAGCGAACGGACGGATTTATACAAAGAGAAAGATCGACAATTTTCTGTAATTTGACCTAGCCGTTTGATCTAGCCGTTTTGTCTTTCAAATTAGTTCCACACGCTCTGTTATGTCAAAATTTGAATTCGACACCCTAAAATTACCTAGAAAAACAACTTTTGGAATAGAAATTGGTTAATATTAGATTTTTAGAGCCTTTTTAAAACGCGAAAAAAGGTGCGCTAATGGGCAAGGTGCGGAAAAAAAGGTGCGCAAATGTCCGGGTGCGCAAAAAAAAAAAGGTCGCATTTGTCCCACTCCCCGAACTACTGAATCAATGGTGGCCCGCAAGTACTTGATAGTTAAACTTGATAGTCAAATTTGATATACATGCTTGTTGTGGTCAAGTCGGAGATGAGAGCAGATTAGCTTAGAAATTCAACGCTCCAGATTGAAGCAAAAAACTTTCTCCGAATTCGTACAAGACCACAAAAGATCTAGTCATAGCTACACACCTAGTTTAGTCGCCCAAGCCTTAAACCTGGCTAAAACGGACTAAAACTAAAAATGTCTTGCTCTCCAATAAATGGTTAGTTGAATTTGAATTTTCGAAAAAAACAGACCCAAATCCTTCTCCTTGGGCAGCCAGCTCTCGAGGTAGTCAAAATATGAAGTTGAACGGTTCCTAAAGAGAAAAAAATGATTGGATATGGGAAAATGGTATGCAAAAGTCTGTCGTACTTCGAGAAACTAGCAAAATTTATTTTCTAATTTAATTATTATACGGAAATTGTTGTTTATGGAGGTACTTCGTTTTTTTAGTGATAGTGACTTTATCGGATAATAGGGATCTGATCCGATCCGAAAGACCCATCAATCGGAGTAGGATCAGATCCGCTTCACTTATACGATCAGATAGATACCATGTTTATAGCAAAATCTAAAATGATTCCTTTTGATTTTCAGTAAATGGAGATCCGTCTTGCCCGAATGACTGGGATAAGTGCCATTATCAAGCCTACGATATCGCAGCAATGGTCTATTGGGGCGAAGCGCCGGCTACGGTGAGAAGCCATCATTTCTGATCAATTAAAACTGATCGGATCGGCTGTCCTGCAAAATTTTGGATTGGCTGTCCTGCAAAATTTGCTTCGAAACCGGTTTTGTTCCGGAAGCGACCAAAACTAGAATCTATTACCTACAGTTTTTTATATAAAATACAAAAACTTATACGCTTCACTCACCGAATATACGGTAAATCATCGAGATCCCCGTAGAATGTCCATTTCGAAGCCGACCAGAACCCGCAATCGTACATTTCACGATGATGAGCCACATTGTAGGTGTACAAGTTGGGATTCCACTGAATCGAATAGACAACCGATCTCTTTAGCATCACTAACATATTTGTTGAATGGAAGCAATGGCCAGCCACGAACCTCGAGAAATCCCTAGATTTTTCTTGTTTTCTCTATACATAAGCTGATTCGGAAACTCAAAGAGTGGAAAAGATGACTTTTAAAATGGTCTTGCAATTTGACTGGCCTTGATCTGGTCCTGGTTTGATCTAGATGACGGATCTCGCCGAAGACAAATCCTCAAACCAGACCAGAAAAGATCAGAAGTTGTAGTTCGCAAAAAGTTTTTAAGCGGGAAAGCTTTTGGTTGCAAAACTGTTTTTTGATGTTGGAAATTCAGGGAAATTGTGATTGTGCCGGTAAAAACTTTGAAAACATACGTAAAGGAGAAAAAAATGGTCCACAAAAGGCCGAACCGGGTCTGATCTGGTCTTGATTTGGTCCTGGTTTACTATGGTATTTGGTATTTTCTGATAAATACCTTCAGTCCTGGTCTAAACCAAGATAGAAAAGGCTTGAGTGCCCCGGAACGAAAGCCAAGACCATGGACAGAGACACATGTCTCGAGTTCCTACCAATGCATAGGTCCAACACAAACGGAGATATCATTCGTGTACATGGACGGGGATGGAGCACGGTGCAGTTTGACCTCCACGGAGACATCTTCATGAAACACGGTCACCTGAAGATCTGCACATAGACATGGGAAAATTTCAACTCCAAGTCTAATTCCACCATCGTTTTCTCGGCCAAGAATCAGCCAAGTAAACGAAGGTGGAATTAGGTTCGGGTTGGAACTTTCCCATGTCTAGTTAGACATGGCTTCGATTCTATCGGATCGAACGGATCTGATAGATCAGACTCATCCGGATTGGACGTATCCGATGAGCGGATGATCGAATCGGTCTGAAACCTCAAATTTTCGGAGAACTTTTGAATCGGATAGGAGTGGTCAGGTCCATTGGATCGGATGCATTCGATTAGTCAATTTAGCGGATCGATCGGGTATATCCGATCCGATAACCATATCTAATGGGTTGTGAGTAAATTTTGAGAATGTGCCATCGATTTCATCGACTTTTGGTAGCTTTCGCTGATCATCTACTAGATATAAAGGGCATGTGTCTGTGTATTTGGTTGTGTGTATGTGTGTACGCTTCATCAATCTGAGAAAGAATCTTGAAGTTCTAACCAACGCCATGTATATTGCTTAGGGCTCGGTGAGGTTATATTAATTTGAAAATTGAAGCATATCAGATGATTGTAAGTTTCGAGGAACAAATTTTGAAATTGTGAATCGTCATCAACAATTCGGCGTCAGTCAACTTTAAAGCCTTGCAAAAACGCACTTTTGAGCTTTGCATAAACAAGATCTACGAAAAACGATTCGATTTTAGTTAAGCAAAGAAATGAGAACAATCGGTTAAGCGGAGGTACTCATAAAAGCCAGCTGTGCCATAGTCGTGCGCCACTCTTCAGAGTCATTTCGTCGATTTTAGGCAGTTTTCATTCAGTTTTAGTCGATCCAGAAATTATGGTTTCTCACCGTATCCGGCGCTTCACCCCAATAGACCATTGATGCGATATCGTAGGCTTGATAATGGCACGTATCCCAGTCATTCGGGCAAGACGGATCTCCATTTACTGAAAACAAAAAGGAATCATTTTAGATTTTGCTATAAACATGGTATCTATCTGATCGTATAAGTGAAGCGGATCTGATCCTACTCCGATTGATGGGTCATTCGGATCCGGATCAGATCCCTATTATCCAATAAAGTCACTATCAGATTTGATCACTCAATACGACCCAATCCGATGCTATCCGACTATTGCCGATTCGGTAAAATGTCTACTTTCTCAGGAAAACATACTGCTCGCTTTTGGAAATATCCACTCAACGCCGACATCTTTCCCGTTGATATGGATTTGAAAGCGACCGCCAATCCCTGACATGTTGCCTCCAACAATAAACGGATACGAGGCCCTTCTGGATCTCTATATCAGAGGGAATTGTAAAAGGTCAACTTTAGCTAGTAGAATATGGTTCCGAGTAGCTATGTGACATTAAATACCACACTACAACGTTCTACAGTTTCCGATCTAAATCTCGGCCGTGAAACTCGAGCCGGGCCTTTTTTAATGTCGAATTCTTAAACTAGAGCTCTGTCACTTTGTATTTATCTTAGCTTGAGTGCACATGGATTTTTCTATACTTATTTTCTTAATTAGGCATAATTCACTTTACAATTTTTTAGGTCCGATGACACCAAGCTCAAAAAAAGTGAAAAAAATTAATTGGGAGATAAATGCGAAAATAACTATAGAAGAAAATTAACGTGCACCCAAGCTGAGACAAATTCAAAGTTAGAGATCTTTAATTCAAGAATCTGACGTTAAAAGAGATAAGGCTCAAGTTTCACGGTCGAGATTTGGGCTCGGAAACTGGATTCTTTTTCTAATTCCGGACCAGGAAGGCTTTTTGAATCCACAGGCTTTTGTCTGCTTTTAAAGTTAAGTTCAAAACTTTTTACTGATTCTAGATTTGTAATCAGTTTTGAGAAATTCAATCTTAAAGGAGCCTATCGAACTATCAAAAGCCCGATCGGATCCAATTTTACAAAAACTTTCGTGAACCCCGTATATTAAATGCATCTGGTGCATCAAATTCTCAATTCCTTATCAACGCAGATTGCTGTCTGTTGAAGGAAGAAATCGAGGGTGCAGTGCATCAGCTGCATTTAATAACTCTCTACAATTTCGGCACAGGAGCTGGTTCCAATTGGATCGTCGATAGTAGCAGATAACTTCCGAACAGCGAACAATACAAAAAGTTGTTTTAGCTTCTAAATGTATTGTCAGCTTTGGGGTAGATTTAATCTGAAAATCCATCGAGTTTTAGCCAGATTTTCAAATTTCCCAGATTTCAGCCTGGATGCCACAATTTTTTGATCATTTTTCTCGGTTCCATTCAGGACAGCTCGAAAACTGAAAACTTACAAATTTGACTTGAAACTGAGGCGAAAGGCAGAAACTACAGATCGATAAGGGTCTCATGGCGACCGCTCAAATCGTAGTATGCGCGGCAGAAAAAAACGCTATTATATGGCGAGAGATTCTCGTCGGCGGCAGCCGATCGATCGAAATCCGATCCGCGATACAATTGAAACGGTTCTTGATTCCCGGAAATCGTTTTCGCAAAGGCGATCTGCCGCCAGGTGTTCGTCAAGAGGAATCAAAGGAAGTGAAACTAGAAATTTTCAATAAACTTTTCAAAGTAAAGAACAAATTCACTTGCCAATCTTCTCCTATGGGTAATCATCGACTTTTGAGTTTTCAGTTGATTCTTTTTGCATAAATTTCCTTTCAGACTTTAGCCGAAAATCGATGAAATTTCTGTTTTTAGCTTTGCAAAACAAATCTTCTTTTCCATTTGT